ATTCCTATTAAAATATCAATGGTGTATTTCACAGATCTAGAATAAATATTTCAAAAATTTACATGAAACTACAAAAGACCTCAAATAGCATCAGCAATCTTGAGAAAGAAGAACAAGTTGGAGGTATACTCGATATAAAACTATCCTACAAAGCTATTGAAATAAAAGAGCTGGGTACCAGCATAAGAACAGGCATATAGATTAATGGAAGGGAACAGAGAGCCCAGAAATAAACCCATGCCCTTGTATCCCTTAAGATCAAGAACAAGAAGGGATGCCCACTTTCACCACCCTTATTCAACATAGTGCTAGAAGTCTTAGCCACAGCAGTCAGATGAGACGGAATAAAAGGCACCCAAATTGGGAAGGAGGAATTAAACTGCCATTATTCACAGATGATGTGATATTATACATAGAAAACCCTAAACACTCCACCGAAATTGATCTAATAAATGAATTCAGCAAAGTAGCAAGATTTAAAATTATTATTCCCGGTGTGTTGTTAAATATATGTACTGTCCAAAGCTGCTATTGTCCATCTCACCCTCAAAACTAAAGGGTCCCTCCTCCCCCGACCAACTTGCAAGTTGGCAAGTCACTGGTCCGTCCTCCTGCGTTGTGATTGTTCCTCTCATTCTGGCAAAGCTGCTTCTCCAGGAAGAAGAGTTGCCTTTGTTGGATTTGAGGAACTGAGAGCTGAGTTTGGGAGCCATTGTTTAAGCTTTCCTGTGCTGGGTTTTCTGATAAATTGAGACTTTTGTTTTGTTTTGTTTTGTTTTTCTTCCTTACAGAGGAAATCAAGTGCAGCAGGCTCTCTATGGTGAGCTGTATCTGATGTGGCAAAGGCAACAAAGTCAGGAAGTTCAAGTGATGGGTCCTCGGATGGGTCCAAACAAAAACACCACCTGATCTTATGAAATAGAAATGATTATGCAAGACATGGTTCTTTTAAGAAACACAAATTCCAGTTTCTAACATCTCTTTTTGGAGAAAATTTCTCATTAGTAGAGTGATTAAAAAACATCTTTTTAGCACCTACCAGCATCTGTCTAGCACCATGCTAGTCAGTCCCTGCCTTAAGGAAGGGGCTTATTTAATAAAGAAAGGACAGCCAAGCACACAGACTGTGAGCAATGCTAGGATGGAGTTGAGCCCAAGCATGTATAGAAGAGACTGGGAACCCCCAAAGTAAGGGGTTTGGATTGAAGAAGGGAGTCTGGAAAGGCTTCTGGCATGGAGGAGGTTGATGTGAAGTAGGCTGGACAGGAGTCAGCCAGCAGAAGTCTACAGATTCCAGCAGTCAGAGGAGCTTGTACAAAGGCACTGAGGCATGCAAGCACACAGCTCCTCAGGAAACTGCAAGGTCTGTGCTTCAGGATGTGAGTGATGAGGCCAGAGAAGCAGATGTTCAAATCTTAATGAATATTTGAAACTGTAGGTCTACAGCTGTGAAGAAGAAAAGAAAACCTCTGGTGTGTGGCCATGTCACTGCAGACATTTTTTGGTAAGCTGAGGATCCAGAGTACAACGAAAATGTGACAATAAAATTTAGGCAGGCCACAGATTTAGCTGCAACAAAATAAAAACTGTATGATCTTAAACAAACTGCTTAGTTTATCTAAGGACTCAGTTTCTTTACCTGAAAAACAATAAAAATTTCTACTCCATAGGTGGAGAGGCACAAAAGTGTTTTTGAGTTTTAGGAGCAAATGTGATACAATGGTAAAACCAACTATGTTAAGGAACACTGTATTAGCATTAGTATTATTATTCTTATCAGAATCTTCCTCGTCATTACCACAAGGTTAATGTCCCAGCCCTCCACATAACGGATGGAAAGAAAAATAGAATAAAGAAGATAAAGGGAGGGAAGAGGAGCACTTCCGGATCTGGACACCCTGGGGGCTGCTGACAGGAAATCCTGCCTGAAGGAGGAAGAGGTGCAAATAGGCCTTTGGCTGGCTGCAGAAGGTGTGGAAGGGGAAGTGCTAATTGTGTGGTGGACAGGTAACTAAAAAGGTGAGTCTGGCCCTAGCTGGTTTGCTCAGTGGTTAGAGTGTCAGCCTGAGGACTGAGAGTCTTGGGTTTGATTCCAGTCAAGAGCACATATATATATATAGGTTTCAGGCTCCGTCCCCAGCCCTGGTCAGCCTGTATGGGAGGCAACCAACCAATCAATGTGTGCTTCTCATGTCGATGTTTTTGTCTCTCTCTGTCTCTCCCCCTCTCTTCCACTGTCTCTAAAAAAAAAAAAAAAATCAAAAAAAAAATATCCTCAGGTGAGGATAAACAAAAACAAGAGAAGAAGGACAATGATGATGAGGAGGAGGATGAAGAGAAAGAGGAGAAGGAGAAGAAGGAAAGAAGGAGGAGAAAGAGAAGGAGAAGGAGAAGGAGGAGAAGAAGGAGAAGGAGGAAAAGGAGAAGAAAGAAAGAAAGAAAGAAAGAAAGAAAGAAAGAAAGAAAGAAAGAAAGAGAAAAGAAAAGAAGAAGGAAGGAAGGAAGGAAGGAAGGAAGGAAGGAAGGAAGGAAGGAAGGAAGGAAGGAAGGAAGGAAGGAAGGAACAGTTTGTGGCCCTGGATGGATGGCTCAGTTGGTTGGAGCCTTGTCCTGTACACCAAACATTGATTCTCTCCCCATCTCTCTCTCTCTCTCTCTCTCTCTCTCTCTCTCTCTCTCTCTCTCTCTCTCTCTCCAATGTATATCCTTGGGTGAGGATAAGAGAAAAATTAAGTCTGTGAATTAACATTCTATGACTCTCAGTATATTTCCATAGTAGTTATGATCACACTCATTTTGTTCTTTAAGAAAACTGCCAGAGCAAAGAAATCCTAAATTGATTAGTCTACTCAATTTTCATAGTGCTTTACAATACACAGCAAAACCATGAGTTCAAGAGAAAGATCAGAGATGATGTATGACGTCCTATCAGAATGCTACATGTATACAACATGACTGCATGTGCCTTTCCTATTTTTTTAAAAATTTATTTTTAAATATATGATTATTGATTTTAGAAAGGAAGGGAGAGAGATAGAAACATCAATAATGAGAGAGAAACATTCATCGGCTGCCTCCTGCACGGCCCCACAGGGGACCGAGTGCAACCTAGGCGTGTGCCCTGACCGGGAATCGAACCGCGACCTTCTGGCTCCCAGCTCCACACCCAACCACTGAGCCATGCTAACTGGGCTGCATGCATTTTTAACTTCATGTGATACCACTCCTTGCAGAAAGCCAAGCACTGACAGAAATACTGCCCACCGGAGAAGCCCTAGCTGTGTGCAGCTGTGTGAAGGGGCAAGCTGGAGCTTCACCCCATCTCCAAGGAACAGAAATGCTTCTGGAGCCTCCTGTCCATGGACAGTCACGGATGTTCTCCCCCGGAGAGACGAGTAAGATGTGCGCATGAGGCCACACCTCTCTTCTCCAGGATGTGGCCATTGGCGGTTGGGCCATTAAGAAGGAAGGAAGAGAGACATGGACAAAGGAAGCACAAGACAAGGACACTAAGCTTCCTTTCAGTCAAATCCCTAGGACCATTTTGTTTAACAGCACCTGACAGTCCCAGGACAGCTCATGAGATCTGATTTATTCTAGGGTGTATATCCCATGCCAGTGTTTCCCATGGAACCCAGTATCCTTCAAGCTGTTTATCAGTGATGAGCAATGTTATGCAAAAATAGACAAAAAGGCAAACAAATGGGAGGGGTGAGATTCTGCAGACAATTAAACTTTGCAACACCAACTTACATGGAGTTCAACAGGCTTTTTTACTGCAGGCCCACTCAGATCCTTTAACATGAGGATATACATGTGACTCATCAAGACAAAGATCTAGTATTTGAAAGTTTCCAAATAGAAACCTTTTCTTTTTCAGAACACAAGTTGCAACAATGTTCTGCCGAACACCAAAGCGGAAAATGAATAATGCCATATTAATGAAACACTAGTCCTAATTACACTGTTAGTATCATACTTTGGGTAGTCTATATGTTGAAGAAGGTTTTTGGGCAGAACTGAAACTAGTGTTTGTCTATGTTTGTATACATATCTTTTATGCATCACCCCCAGAATAAAGTTTCAAAAATCACACACACACACACACACACACACACACACACACACACACATGCTTTTTATTATGGACAATTTAAAACACATACAAAGGTGGGGAGTGAAGTAAATGATTCCCTGAGGCAGACACCCAGCTTGGCGATCCTCAGTACCTGCCAACTTTATTTCGTCTATCCTACTCTCTCTTTCCTCTCCCCCTCCCTACCAACTTTGAAGGAGGCCTCAGACATCTTCTCATTTCACCTGTTAATATTTGACTGTGTGTCTCTAAAGTGGATAAGAATTCTCTAAAAACATAGCCATAATATTATCATTACCCCAAAAGTTTTGAAATAACTGAAATTACTTTCACGATTTCTTTTCAAGGAAAATTATAAAAGACAACCCTCAGAAGCATATTGAACACTTACTATGTGCCAGTCACTGGGCCAAGAGCTTACTGACTTTCTGCCTCACAGTCTCACTCAGCAGTAGCTGCTTTAGTGCCCCATTTCACAAGCAAGGAAAGTGCCACTTAGACATCTCTGGCAGAATGGTTAACCCAGGCCCTCTGTGCTCTGCGACTTAACTGGCTGTCTGACTTGGGGACAAGGTCACTTCAAGTCTCTTTAGTCTCCCTTTTCTCCATGTTAATGAGGCAAATAATTCCATTAAACACAAAGCCATGTGTAAGACCCTGAGGGGTACTACTCTCTTCTGCATGGGCTGGGTACCAGGGAGAAACAGTTAAATTTTAGTCTGATCTAGTGGAGTTAGCCCAATGTAATGGTTCAATCAGTCATCTGAGATCATGCCCAGTCTCCCTAGGTAAAGGCATTTATCTCTTTCATTTTCCTCCTGTCTTCCCCAAAGAGAGCCCCAGGCCACATGGGGAGAGGGGTGGCTTGCGGTGTAGAAGGCCCACAGAAGTCATGGGTTAAACCATGAAGAATGCACAGGAGAGCCAGAAACACATGCACAAGGGCAACAGGTATAAACCGGCACTGTTCCAAGCCAACCCCACCTAGACGGATATCTTCTCAGGCCTTGCTTTCTTCCCTGGCCTTGGCAATGTCCTTGTCCTCATCGTGCCATTCCCTCTGGTGGTTTAGTCAGCCTTCTTGGTGGCTCTTTGGGCCCCTGAGGTCTGGCTGTGTCTCCCCCACCCCATGTTCCCTGCCAAGAGGCCCACCTTGTGGCCCAGAGCTATGTGACTGTTCTGACAAGGTCCCTAGCTAAACCTTCAGTCGCAATCTAATGTGTTCTATTTTGCAGAATCTTTTGGGGTATGCCTATTTTCATTCCTCTGTCTTTGCTGTGGGTGACGGCAGGAGGAGGGACAGGTAACATTGCAACGTGTCCTTACTGATGTTTGCCCAACCCTTTGTATGCATATGGCTCATGTAAGTGCTTCCTAAATATTTGTTGAATGAAGGTTCAAATACAGTCCTCTTTCTGCTTAGCCATGGATCACCAGCATACCTCTAAACAGTTACTTCTATGTTGGTGAGGGAGCAACCTGCTTCTTCCAGAATCCTCACTGAGAAGATAAATGACAAGTATTAGAAACACATTTATCCTATATAATAAAAAGTAATATGCAAATTAGTCATTACTCCACTACACTAACAAGCCATGCCCACAAGCCAATCAGAGTGAGTATGCAAATAAACTCAACCAAGATGGCTACAGCCACAGAGAGCAAGAGGGAGGCTTGGGTTTCCCAGGCAATGGCGGAAGCCAAGCTTTCTGCCTGTACTAGCTGGCCTAGGCCTCCACTCTAGGCTATAAAGTTTTATTTATAGAAAGTAAACAAATCCAAACAGAAATGGCGGCAGCCACAGATCAAGCAGAAGGCTTGGCTCCACTTCAGGTTACAAAGTTTCAATTGTAGAAGGTAAATAAATTTCAGATACCAAGGCCTCCATTTGGATTCCTCTACTAGGTTCAAACCACCACAGGCCCCTCTCAGGCCACCTCACGCCCCAAGGGAACCCCCACCCTGATCCGGGACACCCTTCAGGGAAAACCAGCCGGCTCCTACCCATGTACTAGATCTCTATCTTATCTAATAAAAGAGTAATATGCAGACTGATCATCACTCCAGCACACACGATGGCTGCCCCCATGTGGTCAAAGATGACTGCCCCCATGTGGACACAAGATGGCCACCACAAGATGTCCAGCAGGAGAGGGTTGTTGGGAGGGACTAGGCCTGCAAGGGAGGGCAGTTAGGGGTGACTAGACTGGCAGAGGAGGGAAGTTGGGGGCAAACAGGCTGGCAGGGGAGCAGTTGGATATCAATCAGGCTGGCATGGGAATGGTTAAGAGTAATCAGGCTGGCAGGCAGAAGCAGTTAGGGGCAATCAGGAAGGCAGGCAGGCGAGCAGTTTGGTGCCAGCCTGCCCATTTAGATTGGGTCTAAATTGGTAGTCAGACATCCCCAGAGGGGTCCCAGATTGGAGAGGGTGCAGGCTGGGCTGAGGGACACCCCTCCTCCAATCCCCATGCATGAGTTTTGTGTACTGGGCCTCTAGTACACAATACTAAAAATAAAAGGTTATTATGCAAATTGTCATCACACCATGATGCTGTAATGAACAATCAGCAGGGACCTAAGGCCATGCTCCCTGCCCTGGCAAGGCTTGACGGGGGACCTGAGGCTGTGTCCCCACCCCTGCAAGGCTTGACAGGGGACCTGAGGCCACACCTCTGCCCTGGCGCCTGAATGGGGGACCTGAGGCCATGTCACCTGCCCCTGAAAGGCTTGATGGGGGTGGGGCTGGCCAGGTCTGGGTCTCTTCCAATGGGTGTGTGGCCAGCTGGGTTTCAGTTTGGTGTGATTTTAAGGCACGCGTGGGTGGGCAGGGACTTGAATTTGGGTCCCACAGTGCACCCCAGACTTTGACAGGAGGGAGATTTTCATATACATTTTACTAATTTTCTTTCATCCTGACTTTTCTATTATAAAGAAAAGGCAAATAGCAATATTAACATATTTCCTCTAATTAATTCCCTTTTAATGTGTACAAATTTCATGCACCAGGCCACTAGTTTGTTATCAAGAAAAAAAAATCTGCTCAAACTAGCTCCAGTAGAAGGTTTGTTGAACATGGAGGAATCCCACAGAACTCAACTTCTGTAGGTGCACAGTGCTTAGCACGGCCAGGAGTATACTTGAGGTGCAGGGGGCAGGGAGAGTGATGGTGAAAGATTAAAGAAGACAGACAAGAGAATAAAACTGGGGCTAGGTGGGATGCTGCTCTCGGGTGGAGAGACAGTGCCACAGCCTGCAAGCCGTCTTTCTTTTATAGCCAGAATCCACGAGGTAAAGTAAGGGCATGGTCAAGATGTTTACAGTGTTCTTGTGGGTTTCAAATCTACTCAATGTGGCAACACTTTTTAGAAGCTAGTAGAGGAAGGAGCTGAGGCAAGTGGAAGAAGTACAAGCTAGATTGCTTAGCTCACATAGGTGTGGGTGTGAGGCACTGGGAAGAACCAAGGCTATGCACAGTGATGACACATGAAAACTATATTTGAAAAGGACAACCTGGACAGCTGTGTGCCATGAACTGGCTCGTTGGGTCTTTAATATTAGTGGTTTTAACCTAGGTAAAGACATTATTCTTTTCATAAAACATGCTTTACTTTATCTTTGAGCATCTATTGGGATATATCTACTTTTGTACTGCCACAGAGCATATAGACAGATGTTTGTGGCCTCTCTCTGCCAAGGAATTCCAACTACTAATCAGCAGAAAAGGGCCCACACTCATTCTTTAGCTGCTGTCAGAAATTGTTTCAAACACATATTTGGTTTGGGGATGCTTTAGTGAAAATCATCTCATGGTAGGAATGACATCATGAGATAATTTTCTCAGAACAGTGGGGAACATGCATCAGTTTGGGAATGTTTTTACCGAAGAAGAATATGAACCACACCAAAAGTTACTATTTAAAAACTGCTTTTGTCTGGCTGGTATAGCTCAGTGGTTGAGCATTGACCCAGGAATCAAGAAGTCACTGGTTAGATTCCTGGTCAGGGTGCACTCCCAGGTTGCAAGCTTGATCGGGAAGGCGGGGGGGGGGGGGGGGGGGGGGGGGGGGGAATGCAGGAGGCAGCCAATCAATGATGTTTCTCTCTCATCAATGTTACTCTCTATCCCTCTCCTTTCCTCTTTCTATAAAAAAATCAATAAAACATTAAAAAACAAGCACCCTGCTTTTAAAAGATGCCTCCACACTCATAAAAACCTTTAAAATGGTATTTACATAAACACAAAGTGATTGCTTTAGTGTGCCTTTGCCCATTCTCCTGAAACATTATTAAATGAAGCAGGGTGTGACTTATCAATTTACACACTGTCGTTATTTGGACAAGTGCCTTTAGAGGTTATGTGACAGCTTTAATAAAGTGACATTTAATTCCTTCTCTTTCTTTGCAGAAAAGGAGAAATCACATTTCATTTTTTGTTTGGTTTATTTTCTATCACTTCCAGAAAACCCTACTTTTAATGGAACAAGCGTTCAAACTTGCGACTCTACAAGTAACAGTTTACAGGATCCTGAGATGAGAGAAGGCTGTTTCTTCCCATTCCCCACATTTTCAGTCCCTCTGCAGATCATACTGGTTGTTCTTTCATTTGGATTTATATGTTTTTGTGATTTTTTTCTAAGTATAACTTCCATTAAAATCAAGTATAAAAACTGAATTTAAGATCATGTATTTGAGGCATATTCAGTAACAATGCTCACGTGAGTAATTTTTAATGAAATGAAAATTGATTTTGTACTATTTTAATAAATGCTGCTTTAATGTATTTTAAAAATACTCTTTGTTACACCACACATGGCAGCCTTTCGTGTGACCCGTGTGAAAGAGAAAAGGAAGCCTGTGGCGTGGGAAGCAACCTCCACAGGAAGGCCATGTCTTCTGAGGCTCCATACCCTGGATCTCAGACCCAGAAATGGCAGAGATATGCTCTGCAGGGAGCCGGTGTGGTGCTCCCACCCATTTCACCTGGAGCAGGAGCCAGACGCTCGGAGGTGAATCCAGACCCAGGAAAACCTTAACATGTGACAGCCATTTGGAATCTCTCCAATGAGTTTGAAAGTCTCGATAGCTATTGGTTAAGAGCCCAATGATTTCAGGGGCTCTTCCAGATGAAAATTGAACATACACTTCCATTGTAATGTTGTAAATTGTAAATCTGCCCTCTTTAATGCTCTGTCTAGGTGAATGATAACTACATTCTACATTCTCAGCTGAATGCATTACACTCATTAGCTTTATTTGAAAACTATCTGTGTATTGGGGGGTGGGGGATGTCCCTCAGCATGGCCTGTACCCTCTGCAATCTGGGACATCACCCTTACAATTCGGGACCACTGGCTCCTAACTGCTCACCTGCTTGCCTGCCTGCCTGATTGCCCCCTAACCACTCCCCTGCCAGCCCAATCACCCCCAAATGGCCTCCCCTGCCAGCCTGATCTCCCACAACTTCTCTCCCCTGCTGTGACCCACGTCATCTGTGCAAGGCAGCAAAGACACGGGGACCCACCTCCTCCATGCTGTGTGGAGCAGCAGGACCCCCAGGCCTCACCTCCGCTGTGTGCGTGGCCATCTTGTGGTGGCCATCTTGTGATGACATCGCATGCTAGGGCTACCTAGGCTTTTATCAGTATAGATATGTCTATTGTCTGAAGGCACCCGGTGCACACAAGGAAAGTGGATAATGGTAAGGACTGAGTAAAATTAAGCACCCCCAACCAGAAATGGTTTTGTACAGGGATACAGCACATAGGTGCCCTTTCAGAAGGCGAAATATGGGACACTCACATGATGGACTATAATGCAGCTATTAAAATTCCTGTTTTCAGAGAATTCATAATGATGGAGGCAGATGTTTATTGCTCAACATGCAGGGAAGACAGTGGAAAGCAAGAACGCAGACATGCTAGTTGTGTGATGTGAACTACTTCACGTTACCCCAGAGAATACGGGCCTGCACCGAGGCTTTGGTAAAAGACTGGGAGGGACTGCACTGAAGTTTAAATGGTGGTTTCCTTCAAGTGTTATGTTTTCTTCTTTATACTTCTCATCTTTTTTCAAATTTTATTTACACACATTTTCTTTATCACCGGAAAAGAGGAAATATAATTTATACAGCGTGAGAGGAGACAGCAGAAGTTTCATTTCTAAGTTTCTTTTAATCATCCTCGTCCTTTCAGCTCCTGCACTTGCTTTTTTCTGGTCTTGGCCCAGGGGCTGGGCAGGAGAGGAAGTGCCAGGGAGGGTTATCCATTTGGTTTTCTTTTAAATGTTGGAAACAAATATTGGGGGTGGTGGTGGAGGGAATCACAAAATAAGTTGACCAAAATAATATAAAACTAAACAAACTATAAATATCAACTCTTATCAGAGAGTTTGCATAATTCAAATGGGAACCCTAGTGCCTAGAATAACACAGGTAATTCTAGAACCAAGTACCAATGTCAGTTTTTCAGGAATTTTGTTCAGACACAAAAGTCACAATATATCTTTGTGTCTTAAACCTTAAATATTTGGATATGTAAATGTCCAATTGTTGAAATATTTAAATAATTACACATACAGAATAACAGAACTGCATTCATTACTGTTTGAGCTAAATTAGCGGATTTGAATTATACTTAGGAAACTAGGTACCCACGCTCTATTTTTAACACCACAAGAAATCACAGTGTTCCATGGTACATGTTGTTATGATTGTCACTCAGTTATTATTAATTTACAGGTTTTATTTATTAAGAAAAATCAGTAGAGACCAGAAAATCCGTGGGAAGAAATGGAAGCCATGTTAGGAAAGGCGTGGGAGACAGTGGAAGAGTTTGCCAAACAACACTTAGCCGTGGTCCATTTGGAAAAACTGTGTTGAGCTAGGGGCCTGGGGGCGCTGCTGCAGGCTCGGCTCCGCAGAGCAGCCCGGGCCACAGAGGGCAGCTTCCTGGCGGGCCTGCTGAGAGCCCGAGCCACCAAGGGGGCGCCTTGGTGGGCTTCATGTGCTTTCCAGAGGTTAAGGCCTCGCAGCAGCAGGAGGCTTTCCCTGTTGCATCCCTAAGATCAGAGGACCCTAAACTGGAAAAGCAGAGAAGAACATTCACAAGCCCGCTTCACAGCTCATGGGCTTGAAATGGTATGAAATTGTCTACCTAGTAGAGCTTGACAGGCTGAGTGTCCATTAGCTTGCCCTCATACACTGAGTCAATGATAACGCATGTCAGTGGTTTGACCTAATCTTTAAAGACAACCTTTATTTTTTTAGGTACAATTATGATGGAATCTGTATTAAGAAAAGTTCTTTCTTGTATGCTCAGTATGAAAAAAGGTATCACAGGTTGGTTTCTATCCTTTAAGGATTTTGTTCATCAGTCACAGCTTTATTAATATTAGAACCATTCATATTTTTGTTGACTCTAACTGGCTTTTTGGCTTATCTGCCATTCATCCTCTTCCAGGATGAAAAGACACACATCACATCAGCATGCCTTTGACATGGGCAGAGAATCAGTGTCTACTAATATAATGGGCCAGAGAAATTCACTTCCTTAGCTGTTTTTCATCTTACTCCTTATCTCAGTCACTGGATCCTGGCCTCTTGTGCCTCTCTTCTGGGTCTCCTTGTCTCTCTATCAGCCACTCAGTGCAGGCATTTTCCCCATGTCCAATCCATGACAACTAATGGCCTTTCTTCTGATTGGCCACCAGACATATCATCCTGTTATAGCTCACCTATTGCTTGCCTCCATGGATGGCTCCTCTAAATGATTCTCCCCGGTCTCGGCCCTCCCGGCCCTGGGCTTTCTCTCTTACAGTCTGTTGGACACTTCTATTCAGATGGCACACTGGCGCCTCGTCCTCGGTGTGTAACAATCTAAACTTATCAGCTCTGTCCAAATAATCTCTGCCTTTTGCTTCCACATCTCAGTGCCTGGTACCGACAGGTAGATGGTACAGAGTGCTGCCCCCAAACTAGGTCACACAGTGCTGTCAACTCTACCTTTTCAGATCTGACATTTTGGTTACCGATATTTCCTTTAAATTCCTGTCACCTTACATGGATATTACTGTATTTCCATGGATCCCCTGTGGCCTTCCTCTCCTCAGCCTCACCTCTCTCTAAACATAACCAAAATGCACAGGTGCTGGCCGCACTGATCTCCTGCTGTAAAGACCACAGCCCTCTATGCACATACCTGGTGCTAGCGCTGTTTCTTCCTGCTATGCTCCCAGCATGCTGCTGCCTATTTCTATCAATAGAAGCCATCAGTTTCAGCCCTAAAATCTCTCTCTGACTAGACCAAATGTGGTGCTGTCTGCTTCCATCATCCTATCCTTCCATGATGTCCTTCCTTCTTCCCTCTGTCTAACTTAGGGGTGTCGAACTCAATCAGAGAAGGGGCCAAAATCTAAAATCCAGCCTAAATCTCGGGCCGAATGGTTTACTGAACAGTCATAAACTGTCATTGTGATGGAAACGCAGCAGAGCAGTGATGACAGCGCGGTGCGGGCCACATTGCAAGGCCTGGCGGGACGGATTTGGCCCGCGGGCCTTGTGTTTGACACATGTGGTCTAACTGGACCTTCCTGAATCCTGTTCCTTCCCTCAGACATACCCCAGGGACTCCCTGCTCAGGGAACCACCCCAGTAATACCAGCTCCAGGAAAGGTGCCCTCCTTCACCCTTTCACATGTCCACTGGTGACTGTAAGCACAGTCTCTTAATTCAGAAACCACCTCCTGAACCTGCATTTGCCAAAAATAGACCACATGTGACCCAGCAGCCAGGGACATGCTTAGCGTTACTTGCAGACCAGCATAATTATTAACCCTGCCAGACCCGAGGCCCCAAGCCTAACTGTCCCCTGTACTCGGGCTCCTGAGTACTAAAGAGAAAAAATCAACATGATATAGAAAATGTTAGTTACATGCAAACAAATGGTTAGAATAAGATGGAATTTGGAGACATTGTAGAAAATAGGTCTAAGCAAAGTACCGAAAATTAGGTGCAGCGGTATAGCGGCAGATTCGGAAATTACCGAAAAATTGGTACAGCAGTCTGGTAGGGTTAAGAGTGCCCCTTCACTCTCAAAATGGCTCTAGTTTGGATAATAAATTATAACAAACTACATGTCACCTTTTGTAGAAGGTGCCTATATGTGCACAGCTGCTGAGGTGGAGCCACCAACGTAGATAAGACATGGGCCCTTTTCTCTGGTCGCTTAATAGCAGAGATGGACACACATTGAACCTGATACTAAAGGGCAACATGATGGATATAGAAGTATACAAAAGACCCCATGGAACTCACAGAGCAGCCGTCCTGGGCAGAGGGTCATGAAGGTGCTACGTGAGTCATGCTTTGAGCTAAGCCATAAAGGGCAGTTTAGAATGTTGACAAGTGGGAGGGTGGACGGGAGAGAGGGCAAGAATGCAGAGGATGTCCAGGCAGAGGGAGGAGTGTGAGCAGGATGAAGGACTGAGGAGGCAGAGGTGTGGAGTATCTTTCCTTTTGAGGTGTGTCTCTTGAAGACAACATATATATGGGTCTTATTTTCTTATCCATTCAGCTACCCTATGTCTTTTATTTGGAACATTTGAACCATTTAAATTTAATTTAAAAAAATCCTCAACTGAGGATATTTTTCCATTGATTTTTAGAGAGAGTGAAAGAGATAGAGAAAGACAGAGAGAAACATCGATGTGAGAGAAACACATCAATTGGTTGCCTCCTGCATGAGCCCTGACCAAGGCTGGGTCTGGGGAGGAGCCTGCAACTGAGGTATATGCCCTTGACCACAATTAAACCTCAGGACCCATCAGTCTGCAGGCCAACGCTCCATCCACTGAGCCACTTATTTGTGTTAGAAAGCAGGAGCAAGGAAAAGTGCGTCTATACCATTTTGTTCCCTGTACCTAATTCAAACTACCTCAGAAACTTTTGAAATCAGATCATACATTTATTATAAATCAGTGTTACCAGGGAGTGAAATGCTTTATTATATGATGGTGTCTAATAAATTGAAATATGATGAATTAAACTATGATGGTCGTGACTTTTGTTTGTGACATGATGACATAGACCCACTTCTTTCTGCTCCTCTCTGCTATGCACAACTGTAAACTCTGAAAATAATACAAAAGACAACCAATGGAAAACTCTGAAAAGTTGTACAAGGAAACGGAGCTGTTGGGCTCAGGATGGCACAACCAACACTAGCACCCTGCAGCCACCCACCCGCCCAGACCCAGTGTCTCCCCTCATTCTTCCTTCAGCATGCTCAGCGAGGGAACTCCGTGGGGACTTGGTCAAAAATAAACAGCAGAACTCTTCTTCCTTGCTGGGTCTGAGAGACTCCTTTTCCCCAGAGATCCTGAGTGTCAGCTATCAGTCAAGTGAGACCCAGCTACAGTGAGTAACCTGGTTCAAGGAACTTCGTTGTGTCCCCTACCCAGCTAAAGGCAGCAGAGGGCACCAGCAGAGGGGCATCCGCAGAGGGGCACCCGCAGAGGGACCCTCCCTGACAGAGTGGACAGTCCTCTAGTCCCCGAGGCAGCATCAGGAAAGAGCCCCAGATAAACCAGGCAGACCCAAATAATAGCTGCAGACCCACGACTAACATTTCCCAACGAGATGTGTAAGGGCGCACGGTTGGATCATAAGGGGAGAAAACATAGAGCCTGGAAGAATCCGTGTGCAGGTTCCCCATGCCCTCCCCTTTCTCGAGGGCCACCGGCACCACCAGACCTGGCAGCAGCAGGAGTGTGAGGTCTCTGCCCACGGAAGCCCCATTAGAGACGCCACTTTCAAAGTTTTTATTGGGAGCTGGTCACATAAGCTCTAGCATGCGCCAAAACTGTAGATTTCCCCCAAGAAAGCAGGCTGTTCAGCACCAGCCACAACACTGTTGGCACAAACACTCTAGGAGCAGTGACCCTCTCTTACTAGAGAATATTGTGGGAACTGAGTTCTCAGAGGCCAGACAAGGCCAGTCTGCAAGACGGCTCACAGCCGTCTCAGCACTGCTCCGTCATCTCTTCTCTGCATAATTGCACAAACCTGGGAATACACTAAGAAAACATTGAATTGCACTCTTTAAATGGGTGAATTGTGTGGTATGTGAATTGTCTCCCAATTATGTTAAAAAAAAAAAATCTCAACAACGTGTTGTCTTTTGTTTTTTTTTAGACATAGGTAAGCTTATTATAAAAGTTAAGTGAGCCGAAACCGGTTTGGCTCAGTGGTAGAGCATCGGTCTGCGGACTGAAAGGTCCCGGGCTCGATCCCGGTCAAGGGCATGTATCTTGGTTGCGGGCACATCCCCGGTAGGGGGTGTGCAAGAGGCAGCTGGTCCATGTTTCTCTCTCATCAATGTTTCTAGCTCTCTATCTCTCTCCTTTCCTCTCTGTAAAAAATCAATAAAAATATATTTTAAAAAAATTTAGGTGAAAGGCAAGGCCTTAAATAGCTCAAACAATCTTGACAAAGAGGAATTAAGTGGGAAGAAACTCTATCTGACAGGAAGTCTCACTGTGTAGCTGCAGTAATTGAGGCAGTGTGGTTTTGTGGAGGATAGACACATACATTGATGAAGCTGAGTAGAGAATCTAGGAATATACTCACTCTTCTTTCTCAAGATTGCTTTGGATATTTGGGGTCTTTTTGGTTCCATATAAATTATTGGATTATTTGTGCTAGTTTGGGAAATATGCCATTGGTATTTTGACAGGAATTGTGTTGAATCTATAGATTGCTTTGTGTAGTATGGACATCTTAACAATATTAATTCATTCTATCCATGAGCATGATATATGGTTCTACTTATTTGTATCTTCTTGTTTCTTTCTTTCTTTTTTTCTTTTGCATCTTATAATTTTCTGAGCACAGGTCTTTTTCATCCTTGGTTAAACTTATTCTTAAATGTTTTAATGCAATAGTAAAGATTATTTTTTAGTTTCCCTTTCTGATGGTTCATTATTGTTGCATAAAAATGCAAATTATTTTGGGATATTTATTTTGTATCCTGCTACTTTTTTGAAATTATTTATTGGTTCTAGTTATTTTTTGGTGGAATCCATAGGGTTCTCTATATAAAGTAGTATCATGCCATCTGCAAAATAATGATAATTTTACTTCCTCCTTTTCAACATGGATGCCTTTTATTTCTTCTTCTTGTTTGATCACTGTGGCTAGGATTTCCAGTGCTGTGTTGAATGAGAGTGGTGAAAGTGGACATCCCTATCTTGATCCTGATCTTAAGGGAAATGTTTTTACTTTTTCCCCATTGAGTATGATGTTAGCTTGGGTTTATCATATATGACCTTCATTATGTTCCC